TACTGGAATGGCAAATATATGACCAGCACTTCTAACAGTTTGGGGATAGGATATCTCACAAAGTTCTAGTATGTCGTGGACATGAATAGTGTCCATGATGCTTACTTGTGGCCAGGTGTGACTTGTGGGACTGAACTACTGCTATTTCCTTGATATCTACCCTGTAGACGTGGACAGAATCATGACCCACAGGGTGCAGGAGAAGTCCATTTGTAGAGTATGCTGATGGAAATATTTAGCTGCTATGCACAACAGAATAACTGAAAGACTGCTGTTGAGTGCATCCTGCTATTGTATACATCCTTTTCTCCTGTGTTTAATTATTTGCCCTATTTGGTAGGTTCTTTCCATTCTCATTCATGGAGTTTGTGGTCATTTTGATCCCTCTCTAGAATATCTTTTAGTAGTCTGTGTCGGGTTGGCTTTGTGGCTATGAAATTCTTTCGTTGTTCTTTCACATGGAAGTATTTCACTTCTCCGTTAAACTTGAAAGAGAGTTTTGCAGGGTATATGAGTTTGGGTTGGAATTTGTTTTCTTGCAAGACTTGTAGTACTTTGCTCCATTCTCTTCTTGACTTGATGGTTTGTGAAGAGAAATATGCTATTATTCTGATGGGTTTCCCTTTAAATGTGATCTATGTCTTTTCTCTAGCAACTTTTAGTATACTGTTCTTGCGCCGAATTTCTGGGATCTTGAATATTATATGTCTGGGTGTGGTTTTAATTGTTGCTGTTCTTTAGAGTGCTATATGCTTCAGTTACCTGAATGTCAGATTGTTTCCCCATATTTGGGAAGTTTTCTGCTATTCTACCCATATTCTTTTTATATCATTTGTATTGACTCCTTCTTATTGATGCCTATTAGTCTCATGTTGTTCATCTTTTCATTGTCTTGCAGATGTTGAATTATTTTTTCCTGCATCCTAGTTGTTTTTAAGAGATCTTTTCTTACCTTTTCACTAGCTGCAAAGGTGTCTTCAAGGTCTGAAAGTCTGTTTTCACTTTCACTCAAATGGTTTTGCCAGCTTGTGATTGAGGTTTTAATTTCACTTTGAATCTGTTTCATGCATTCTATTTCTTTCCTATATTGCTCGTTGAAGGATTTCATCATTTTTCTATGTTCTATTTTTTTTATCAGTGTCTTCTTTAGAGGCATGTAGTACTTCTTTCATTATAGTTATCATTTTTCTTTTTACTTCAGAGATTATTTCTGATCTGATTTCCTCTATACCTTTCTGAAGTTGTTTCTTTACTTCAGACACTATTATTTCATAGATTTCAGGAGTGTGATTTCCAATTTCTTCTATGCTATTGTCTCCTGCATTTGTTCTTAATGGGCTTGGGGCCGGAGAATGCATTTTCCTCCTTCTCTTTGTCATTTTGTATGGCACTGTTTGCTAACCTTTGGCACCAGGTCTGGATCTACCAAGTTCAAACTCATCCAGGTGGGTATGGCTTGGGTCTGGCTGCTGTGCTTCACTTCTTCCTGCTACAGCCCTTGGATGTGAACCTGCTATGCCATTCTGGCAAGGTGTTATCTTGGATCAGCTGGGTGGGTCTTGCCTCTAGCCTCCCTGCAGGGAGTTCTACCCCAGGGTTCCACACCGGGCCTGTCCGATGGTTGAAGTTTCACTTACACACCGAGCCGGGGCTCTGGGTCAAATGAGGATCCAGCGGGTCTTGGGTGGTCTCACTCACACACTGGCCTGGGTTGAATCTTCTCTCAGTATTTGAAGTTAAAAGGAGTAACTAATTCATGCAGAACTTTGCAAAATTGCCTCATATGTATAATATGCGTTGTGTTTTCTAGTTAGACTCAATGTTATGTATATACATTAATTAATTATTTTTTTTTTTTACAGTTTTTAAGCAAAAGACTATTACCAATTGGATGGACACTAAGGAGATCAAGACAGCTGAATCAGAAAGGTATAAAGATATGTGTATGGAAAGATGAATAACCTAACGAGGGGTTGCTTTATCTTGCTTTGGGGTATTTTCTCTATTTCTTCTTGTCTTTTTTATTTATCTTCATCTACTTTCATTCATTTTCAGCCTAAATACTTTTTTAGTCTCCTTTATGCAGTCACCCTGCTTCAAGTACAGAGATGAAAGAGAAATAACTGACTTTAAGCTACTTACAGTGTAGTCGTGCCTAAACACATAGACATATAGTTTCTGCCTGGTGTGATAAATGCAGCAGTAAAGAAGTGAAGTAGTAAAGATGTAACTGGTGGTTACCTTATAGAACAAAAAGATAAGCTCCAGGAAAGACTATAATGAAGTGAGTAAAGTTTTAGATTTGAGGGAAAGGCAGGTTATTTCCAGGCCCAGCTAAGGAAGGTCAAAGACAATAAGGGAAGAGCATACTGTGTGTTCAGGAAACATATATAAGTTGGTCTTAGTTCTTTCTGTTCTCTTGCAGTTTACATAGTAAAGAAAACAATAACACAAGAATAGAATCCATGATGAGTTCTGTACAGAAAGATAACTTTTATCAACATAATGTGGAAAAATTAGAAAGTGTTTCTCAACTAAGTCTTGATAAATCACCTGTTGAGAAAAAGACACAGTATTTGAACCAGCATCAGACTACAGTGATGTGTAAGTGGCAGAAAGAAGAGAAAAATACAGAACAGCTTTTGGAAAGTGAACCTGCCACAGTGACTCTGGTGCCAGAACAGTTCACTAATGCTAACATTGAGCAGTATCCCCACACTGATGGTCACAGTGACACAGACAGCAAAGAAAGCAGAGACAATCAACAATTCCTGACACCCATAAAGCTTGAAAATGCAAAACAGACAACAACTGAGCAGGCCAGAGAAGCCAGAAGCCACCAGAAGGACTGCCCAGCTTGTTACCCTGGGGAAGACCGTACAGGTTGTCAGCAAGAGACAGACGTGGTACCAGAGAGTCCATTGTCAGATGTTGGCTCAGAGGATGTTGGAACTGAATTGAAAAATGACAACAAATTAAGTAGACAAGAAAGTAGCCTAGGAAATTCTCCATTTGAGAAGGAAAGTGAACCAGAGTCACCAATGGACGTAGATAATTCCAAAAATAGTTGTCAAGATTCAGAAGCAGATGAAGAGACAAGTCCAGGTTTTGATGAACAAGATGATGGTAGTTCCTCCCAGATAGCCAACAAACCTTCCAAGTTGCAAGCAAAAGAAGCTGACAATGAACTTAAGAAGCAGTGCTCTGCTAAGGGAGGTGAAATTAGATTACATTTTCAATTTGAAGGAGGGGAGAGTACTACTGGGTTAAGTGATACAAATGCCAGATTACCTGGAAGTATGTCTGTGCTTAATGTAGAATGCAGAAATTCCAAGCAGCATGGAAAAAAGGACTCCAAGATCACCGACCACTTCACAAGAATATCTAAAGCAGAAGACAGAAGGTAATTTGTCCCATTAGGGGTATTTCTTTGGGAGTATATTACATTTTAAAATTTTATACAGGAGGCTTAACAAAGTTATGATTTATAGTAAAATAAATTGCTTAACTACTTAGGTTAAATTTAAGCCTCTATACCAAAGTTTAAATTCTCGAAAGTTCAGAAATACAAAATAAGGGATAATGAATATTGACAATCAGATCTGGCTACTGGTTGGCCATTCATTTCCAAAGTGAGTATATATTATACTTTTTCTAATACTCTTTAACAGACAGATGGTGGCATACTCATTTTATAAATGAGAAACTGAAATTTGAATTAGAAAATTACTGAAATCATATAAGTTGTCTGACAATATTGGGATTTAATGTGGCATGTGTCAGATTACAAAGCTTATATTTTTACCATCTCCTCTTATAGAATCTTAAGCCCACTTGATAATCTCTGTTATCTCATTTTTCTACCCTGTGATCCTAAGTTCATTTCATTAAAATTTACAGCGCTGAGACCTGAGAAGTAGGGGTACTATGAACCATAGTATCTTAGTTACCTTCTCGTTGCTCTGACAAAGTACCTATACCCCATAGCATAAAGGAAGAGCTGATACTGGCTCAGGTTTCAGAAGTTTCAGTGTATGTGTGGCAAGCTCAACTAAAGAAAATGGCAAGGTAGAAGAACCTGTTCCCATCATGTTGGCTAGGGAACAAATGAGTAGAGCTGGGAGGGAGTTACACCCTTGAGGTCCTACCCCTAGTAACCATACCCATTATTCAATTACTGTGCACACACACACACAGACACACACAGCACATGAGGACTTTGTGGGACATCTAGATATTAACTATGACTTGCAGCTCATTTCTGTTTTCAGGAGGTGCTTTACATGTAGGAAATTCCCTTTCCAGACTACTGAAAATGAGTTCTTGGGTCTTAATATAAACTTTATAAGTTTTCCTATTGATTATGAATATAAAACAGAGGTGAGGGAGCAAGCTTGACAAACTTTAAACAGGAACACTGTTAAGTTTTGTACTTGGGAACTGAAGCAATAAAGTTTTGACTGAATGCATTTGTCTTGACCTTAGAAAAGAACAATGTGAAATCAGACATCAAAGAACAGAAAGGAAGATGCCTAAATACGTTCCACCTCACCTTTCTCCAGATAAGAAGTGGCTGGGAACTCCTCTTGAGGAGATGCAAAGGATGCCTCGGTGTGGGAGCCGGCTGCCTCTCTTGAGACCATCTGCCAATCACACAGTGACTATCCGGGTGGGTATCGCCTCTTGTCTAGCAGCAGAGAAGACTGAAGATCCTGATTGACTATATATATCAATGTGAAAAGCTGAACAAAACATAGCAAGTTTTCTTGTCTGCATATATACAATAGTCAGAATTGTGCAGCAGAAAGAGAAACCCATTGCTTACTTAACATGGCCTTTAACAAATCAGCAAGATGAATCATTGTCCACTAATGATGAAATCACATTTTTCACTATTTTTAAGAAATCCCACTGGGTTTTTTTTCCTCCCCCTTTTAAATTCGTTTGACAAGCTGCCTTGGTAGTACACATTTAATCCCAGCACTCTGGGAGGCTGATGCAAAAAATCGCAAGTTTAAGCCCAGCTTTGGAAACTCATTGACTTGGCAAGACCCCATCTCAAAAACTAAAAAAAAAAATTAATTGAAAAATAGGGATACAAATCTAACTCAATGGAAGGGCCCTACCAAGGTCCATTCCTTGATGCCAAAATTATATTAAAAAAAAAAAATTCAACTGGCAGTATTTATTGAACATACACTACATGTTCACTACTAGGTTAGTCATGCAAACTCAAAATTCTGTATGTTCAGTACATTTTCCAGTTCTGCATAGTTTTCTGAGCTTCAGATTCTTCCTCATCAAAATTACTACCTCACAGGTATCTCAGATTGAATATGTTTGTCTTTTTTTTGTTTTGTTTTGTTTTTTTGAGGTGGGATCTCATGTACTTTAGGCTGCCTTGAATTCACAGCCGTCCTCCTGCCTCAGCCTCCCTAGTGCTGGAGTTACAGGCATTTTTGCCACCACTCACAGTTAAACTCAACATGTCTTAAACCTGTTTTGCATTTAAAAATTTGTGATAAAACATATGTAGCATAAAATTTACCATTTTAAGCATCATTAAATACATTCACAGTGTTGTACAACAGTCACTATGCATTTCGAAAGCATTTTTATTTTTCCAAACAGAAATTCTGTATCTGTTGGGCAGTAGCACCTTTGGCCTTGTATCCCCCAAATCCTGGGTAATTACCTTCATATGAGGCCTTATCTTTACACAAATTTTACTGAGGCATATAAAGGTCATTTATTGTAAGTGCTTAGTTTTGTGATATTTAAGAACTATGTAATCATTAACATAGCCCAGCTTCAGAAGTCTTCCATCACTCATTGGCAGGCTTAAATATTCTTTTCATTTGGAGTCTATAGATTTCACAAAGAAAACTTAAAGAATTTAATGTATGATGCCTTCTATAGTACCAGTTAGTTTAGACATGAGCAAATACGAAATTCATAATTATATTATTAGAACATCTTTGCCATAATATGACTGACATTCATCATAGAAAATTCACACCTGCATGTTCTTCTTCTTAATTCTTTTTTCCTGTTGCTCTCCCCTTCAACTCTTCATCACCTCCCCATTTAAAGAAGATTGGTTTAGATTTTTTTCATTCCATTCTTTTTGTTTTTTTGGTTTTTTTTAATCCCTTTCCTTCCCCTTCCCTTTCCCTTGTTCCTTGTCCCTCATCCCATTTGAACATGTGCTTTCTATTTTTCAATACCTGTACTACATTTTACACCTTATTCTTTGGGTTTCTTTCACAGAAAAAATAATGTGATATTTTAACTTGTGTGTCTGATTTATTTCACTTAAAATTATAGTCTTGAGTTTATCCTTTTTTGACAGATTAATACTCCATTGTATATAAATAGCACATTTTCTTTATCCATTTAGCCATTGATGGACATATGGACTACTTCCAAGATTCAACCATTATAAGTGGTGCTGCTGTACACATGGGAATGAATGTATCACACTGTAGTATGATGATTTTAACTCTCTCAAGAAGATACTGTTTTAAGAAGGGGGGAAATAGCTGGAACAAATCAAACCTCTAATTTTATTTAAACTCCATACTGATTTCCACAGTGTGTACGAGTTGGCACTTCCACAGACAATGGAGAAGGGTTTCCTTTTTTCTACAGCTTCTCCAGTATTTGTTATTGATTGATTTCATGATGATAATAACCATTTTTTCTGGAGTGAGATGGTATCTCATTGTTTTAATTTCCATTTAACAAATGATGGGTAATATTGAACATTTTCTCATTGTATTTATTTGCCATTTGTATTTCTTCTGAGACGTGTCTGTTCATTTTACATGCTCATTTTTGGGTTGGGTTTTAAATTGGAAGATATGATATTTTTTAGTTCTTTATATATTCTAAATATTAGTCCTTTGTCTGAGAAATACATGGTAAAAATTATTTCTTACTCTGGTTGTCTCTTCATTCTCTTGGGGTTTTTTGTTTGTTTCTTTGTTTTGTTTTATTTTTTCTGTGTAAAAGCTTTTTGATTTGGTGCAATAGCAGTTGTCAACTCTGTAACATTTCCTGTGAGGTTAGGGTTTGTTTATAGAGTCTTGGCCTACACTTATGTCTTCCAAAATTTTTGCATGTTTTATCTTCAGGGGCAAATTAGGTGTTCCTGTTTTATTATTTAGATCTTTGATCCATTTCAGTTTTAGTTTAGTGCATGATGAGAGATATGGATCTAGTTTTAGTTATTGACATATGGAAAGCCAGTTTTTCCAGCAGCATTTGTTAAAGAGGCTATCTTTCTTCCAGTGAAGCTATCTGGCCCCCTTGTGAATAAGGAGGTCGCTGAGTGTGCCTGAAGTGGCTTGTGCATTTTCTGCTGTTACGTTAATCCACAAGTCTGCTCGGTTTGGTTTGGTTTGGTTTGATTTGGTTTTCCCTATACCATGCTTTTTTTCATCACAGTAGCTTTGTAGTATAGTTTCAGATTAGGAATTGTGATGCTTCCTAACTTGCCCTTATTGCCCAGAATTGTCTTTCCTATTCTACGTCTCTTCTCATTCCATTTGAATTTTGGGATTATTTTCTGTAGTTCTTTGAGGTATACTACTGTTAATTTGGTCAGGATTGCATTAAATCTATATAAGAGATTTGGGGTATATCAGATATCTCTATTTTAAGGTGTCCTCAATATCTTTTCACAGTACTGTGCTTTTCAATGTAGAGGTCTTTAACTTCCTTTGTTAGGTAGATTCCTAAGTACCCCACTCTCCTTGATGCTATGGTAAAAGGTATTATTTCCCCATTTTCTCTCAGTTTATTCATCCATATGAATTCTCTTGAATATCTGAGTGTTGACTTTGTATCCTGGTACACTGCTCAATTTAGTTATTAAATGTAGGACTTTTGGGGGTCTTCTGTGTAGAATGTGTCATTAGCAAATAATGATAATGTTTTTTTCCTGAAGGTAATCTTATACATTACTTTATTTATTTTTCCATAATTTTATTGAGAAACAAATAGCAATGAGACAGTTTCAAACCAAATTGGTAGGACAGTTTCAATAATTAACACATTGCATACATTCTTTGAAGTGGTTATTTGCTGTACAAGATGCAGACATGATGTCCTATTTGCAAACACTATTAGAATAAATCCCTCCATTCATTAAGATAATGTAACTATATATCTATCCTAACAATTTTGAATACACAGATACAAAATGGACATTCATCGGTATCCCCTTTTTTGTTTAGTTCCGTTCTTTGAATGTTATAGGTATGTTAACTCAGCAAAATATACTAAGAGTCCAAAAGTCCATAATGGTATTGGGTCTTCCGCTTCACTGGCAATGTCAGAAATTATTGACCTGAGTCCCCTACAGCTCAACATAACAGCATGGCTTGACTTCTTATACTTCATTTTTATACTTTTCTGCTGGATGGTTAAGACCAAGATAAAGCAAGACCTATGCAACAAGAGTTGTAGCTTTTGGGTCTGA